AAAAAGGCGGCATAAAAGCGCTAGAAAATAAAGACTTCACAAAAGCCAAARACCTTTTCCAAAGATCGTTGATTCTCATTCAAAGTGAGAAGAGCCAAGACAAGGAAAACAAATGTTGTATTTTAAGCAACCTCGCTACTGCGTATTATAACTTGAATGAATACCAAACTGCTCTAGAAAAAGGAGAGGAAGCTTATGCAACTAATTCAGTTTCCTCACATGTAAGTAACTGGAAATAGTTTAACTAAATATAAGTACGTCTGAGGTTTTTTTCCGTCACGTTTCCTGAGAATTTCGCATTATTTATAACAGTGGCCTCTCTTCTGTTCGATTCTTTTAAACCTGGGATTCTAAAAAGCATTTTCATTTCATTTTGCCACTAGGTAGAGGCAGAGACATGGAACAAAAGAATAGAAAAAATCCCAAGACAAAATAGCTTTGAGCTTCTAACTAGGTACTATACACTGGCCATMAAATTTGCACCAGAAGAAGAAGATTTCGGAGACCTACGTTTCGCGCTCTTGTCCAGTCGCTGTAATACCTACATTGAGATGAATCAGTACGAACAAGCTCTGGAAGATGCTGAGAAATGTTTAGCAATAAAACCAAACTGGTTGAAGGTAATATAAAGTGCCCGGTCATAAATGTCAACTATCTGATTGTCAAAACCTTATAATATAGCTCCTTCTTTTCGATACCGAATATTCAAGGGGAGAAAAGACAAAACAAAAGGCACTATATATCTAGATCTAATTGGTCTTATTGCTACTGCTACTGTTAGTCTTTGAACATCAGGTGATTAGCAGTAGAAAGACTAGCAGTAGCAGTCGAAACGCCCCGGCCCTCCCAACTGCCACAATCGTGAGTCAAATGAATTGTTGATTTATTTGATTTATCTGCACGATGAATAATATTTTCCATTTTATCTAGATCTGGACGCTAGTATCTCCTAGAAACGATTTTTGATGTGCTAACACTGCAAATGCTTTGACAAATAAAGATAATATCAGAGGTGAGAGTATGTGGACCGCGTGGCACTAATGAAATAGTAGAAGATAATATAGGTAAGTTGTAGTGCTTGGGAACGAGGTTATTCCGGGCGAAAGCCCTTGGAATTAAATTCGGAAAAATTAATTTCCGACCGACCTCGCTGGGATTCGAACCCACGACCTTCGGAATTGTACTACCGATGCTCTACCAGCTGAGCTAGAGGTCA